TATATCTTTTATATAAATATCATTTTTGAACATTATATGTTGATGGAATATATAGTGCATTAATAAATATGTATCTTGTTTGATTTTAACCTTAGGGTAGACAACTTTTGCTCTGTATATATCCTTCCTTGTTTTTGTTTTGCAGCCTTGAGATTTTAATTATTTTAGGATGTACATGTATGTATGCTCCTAGCACACATCTCACACACGCTTATGAGTGGGGTCCCTATACCTGGGTCTGAGTGAACATAAGATAGATGAGAGGTTGTATAGTGATATCCATTTTGGATGTACGTCCTGTTTGGTTATCATGAAAGCCTCATCTAAAGCGTGACTATTTCGGGATTATAGCCATTTTGGACGTATGTCCTGTTTGACTATTTTTTTGAAATGATATCTTAGCTCTAGAGAGCAAGGTTCTCGTCTATGAAGCACCGACACTTCAAAAATCCTGACGTGTCGTGTCCGACACCTCCCGACACTCTCCGACACTCCCCAACACTCCATCACGTGTTATAGAAATTCAAAAAAAGGTTTAAGGGTTGCGTTGCATTTAGTTTTTAGTCTCAACTATTAGATTCATTGGATTATGATTACCATTTTATTGAGTTTAATATAAATATTTGGGATATCTTATGTTTCTTTACAAAATTGATGAATATTATAAGTTTAGTTTTATTTTTTTGTTAAATTATTGAATATTGAATATAATATACACTACATAAATTAAATTATTACTTAATATCAAAACGTGTCCTAACGTGTCAAAATCTAACAATTTTTAGAATTAACGTGTCGGAGTGTCGTGTCGTATCGTGTCACGTGTCGCGTGTCGGTATCGGTGCTACATAGGTTCTCGTAGTTATAGAATCACCAAAGTGAGAGTTCCCACACATTAGTAAGACCTATTGACCTGCAAAATAAAAGTAAGGTTATGCAACTAAATAAAAATCGATTCTGGACACAAATGGAGCACATCTTTTTCTTACTCTTATTCTCATTCTCTACATATTTCCATTGTTTCAAAATCATCACAAATTCATATTTCAACTACTCATGTAAATGCATAATGCTTCATGATAGGCATAACTATTATCTTCATAATTTTTTTTAAAATAAAAAAAATCATTCATCATTTGTCTATCTTACACTATTTTAGGAAAGTTTGTTAGAGAACTGTTGAATTTTAGTTTGATTGTGAGTATCATTATTATAAATATGGGATCAAATCACAGTGAGATACCATCATCAATGTTGAGGAAAACTTTGTATCTCAAAGATAAAAAGCCTGAAACTGAGAGTTTGAAGGCTCTGGGCCGCATGTTAAAGAAACCGCAACGGCTGACCCTCACTAGGAAGTACGAGAATGTCCTAGATTTATTAGAGGTGGATGTTCAAGTTGAGGCAATCACTGCAATTTCACAATATTATGATTCACCTCTGTGATGTTTCACTTTTCAAGATTTTCAGTTAGCCCCTACATTGGAAGAATTTGAGTGAATCTTCGGGCTATCTTTAGAAGATGAGAACTCCTATCGTTACAATGGGCATTACCTTTCCATGCACGTTGTTGCTGAGATTTTGAAAGTCCAAGTGAGAGACTTACAGGAAAGGAAGCAAATTCAGAATGAAACTGTGGGATTTTCGAGAAAGTATCTAGAAGAACATCTTCATCACTTAGCAGAAGCAGGGGGAATGAGACACTTTCATCGATCTGTTGGCCCTCATTATTTATGTCATTCTCATATTCCCTAATATTGATGAATTTGTGGACTTCGCAACCATTGATGTATTTGTGGCATGCAAATTTAAACGTGAAAACCCTATCCAGCCATTCTTGCTGATGTTTACTATACCTTGAGCTTTTTCATGAAAGGAAAGGAAAACAGATCTTGTATTGTTTACTAGTGTTGTTCATATGGCTCACTGCTCATATGTTTAATAGAGGATGCAAAGTGGCGTGCCTAATCATTGATTTTCAGATGTATCAGTTGAAAGCTAAAAGTGGTTGTGAGTGGGTGCAAACTTTGGCCAAGCTTGATGGAAAAGGTGTCCGATGGTATCCTGAATGGGCAAGAATAGAAGTTTTGGTTTATCAATATGGGGATTTTCCCAATGTACCTCTGCAAGGTACTCGTGGATGTATCAATTACAATCCATCTTTGGCATTACGACAGCTAACCGTATCACGACGTGATGGCGACTATAAGGGGGTAAGTGATTCTAAAAGAAACCATACGAAGGTTTTTGAACTTTTCTACATTTTTTATAGTTAATTTATTTACTTTTTTAAAAAGTTAAACCTAACAAATTTAAAAATTTATTCCAAATTAAAGCTTTTAAGTAGGTCAATATAGACAAATGAATTAATGGATTAAACTTTTTAAATGAATTAATAAATTAATTTACATATAAACCCGTCAGCAATAAACCCGTAAGCAATAAACCTTTTAAATAAGTTATGTAAACTTATAATTTCAAAATAATATTGCACAAATCTAATAAAATTAGGCTTGAGAAAAGTACAAAAAATGTCCCTTTTGAACAAATAGCAAAAATCGGTTCTGAGATGTCACAAATTAAATTCCTTCCCATCGTTTATGTGATACTTGTTCTTGACTTATTTGTAGCTGTCAGGAAGGAAGCACCAACACGTTTTTGTTGTTGAAAAATACGTGTTAGATACCGACATATTTCGACACACGGTCAACACTTTTTGACACACAATTAATATTTTTTCGACAGGTAGTTAATATTTTTTGATATTTTTTTTAAGATTCAAATTTTATTTTATTTTATCTTTTTAACTAAATATGAAAAATTAATTTATAGATCAAATATTTTTCTGTTATGAAATTTGACATGAAAAATTAACAAGGCATGAAAAATTATTATTTTTTTATATTTATATTATGGAATTTTAATATTTGATTAATTGTATGACTTATTATGAGGTGCTATATGTATTAAATGTCAACTGTATTATATATATTAAAAATATTATTTAATATCAAAATGTGTGCTAATATATCAAAATTTTAGAATTAACGTTTCAGTGCATCGTGTCATATCATGTGTTTGGTATTGATGTCGGTGCAACATATACTGTTAGCAACAACTTTTTTTTTCTTTTTAAGAAGTGGGAGGATTTTGGGGTTGCATTGTGGATTTACATATTTTTCATACTGCAATTCAAATATTAAATAAATACATAATTTTCATCTAATTGTAAAGAAATAAAGAACGTATATGATAATAATTCTGTTCTTTAATTCTTTGTTTTTAGAGAGAAATTATTTTTTCTTGTCGAGAACAAAAAATTAAAAAAAATTATTTCTTCTTTTTCTCCTAATTTTTTTTCTTTGGCTACAGTTCATTCTATAAAATAGAAAAACAAATCGATTTCATCAAATATAATTTTTAACTGTTTTAATTCCCAATTAAAAGAGAAAAAACATTTTTAATACTAATATCATACACATCCAAACTCATATATTGTACACAAACATTTACTCTTATTTTTTTTTTTTGGGTAGTCTACTTTTATTTATTTATTTTTTGTAAACAAAAGGCCTAAGCCACAAAATAAATAAAAAACACAAAAAGAAATCTAACTATTACAACTTAAAACATGAGGTCTCCAACAGCCTGACAGATCAACAATAAGTAATAACTTGAGGAGGGTAGTTTTCAACTTAAAATATGATGGTTAAACTACAAAGGATTTTACTTAAAATATTTAATTGAAACATATACTTAAAATTATTTTAGTAATTAAATATTTTTTTAAAAAAAAATACGAAAAATAATCCCAGTATTTTTTCTCAAGAATATAAAAATTAAATTTTATAAATATTTTTAAAATAGGAGCAGCTATACTTTTTATCATTTTAAAATTATGTATTTATAATATTTTTAAAATGTTAGGTAAACTGCAAACACGCCTTAGATTAAATGCTCTTGGAGCAATTTACCAAAAAAAGGAAAAAAAAAATGCTCTTGGTGCTTGTCAATTTCCTTGAACATAGATGTGGAATCATAAATGATCGTTACAATACACACGCAAAATGGTACAAAGCGTCCATTCTGTACAAGCGCGTTTTTCCCCCACTAACTTTTTCTTCAATAGGATCGTCTCCTGCAATCCTTCCCTCAAAATTAGTTGTTTGATAAATTTTATATTAATATATTTAAATATTCCGAATTATTCTCAATAAATGAAATTAATTAAAAAATATTAAAAATATGTTATTAACAATATTCATGTTAATAATATATAATCTTTAATTTTTCTTTCTGTAATTATTTATAATTTAAAAATTTACTAATTTTATCAATAAAGAGTAAACGTAATTATATAATAAAATTTACCTAAATTTTTTACTAGATAATAAAAAATTAAAAAAAAACTAAAACGTATATTACTAACTTACCTCTTGTGACGTTTACCAAAAATAAAATAAAAAATAAGCTTACCTCTTGTGACTTCTGTTGAGTTTCCTAGAATATTTGGCAAGAGAATTTTTTTTTTATTAAGGAAAATATAATGACTGAAAAAATAGTAAGAAAGTCTATTTGATGAAAAAGTTAAAAAAAAAGATATTTGGTTGATTGAAATATTATCGAAAAAATTTATTTAAATTTACAAAATTTATGTTCAGGAAGAACTTCGCACCTATTTTTTCATTTTTTCAGTTATCTCAAAATACCACATCTCAAGTGGTATTTCATAATAGTGAATTTCATCCAAAAATTAACACAAAAATCATTTCCCAGCCATCCTATTTGTCAAGTATTTTTTTTTTCAAAAACTTGAAACAAATATGATATTTTTTAATATTCATCCATATTTCCTCGTTAAATTTAAAATAAAACTTCTACCAAAATTACCCAAAGAGTATCACGCGCTTGCTTTTCCAATAACTCACACGATGACACGATCCATTTCCTTGTTATATAGAGTTGTTTACAGTTTACTAGTTACGAGTAAAAATAGGAAAGAACCTCCTTTACTCTCTCTCTCTCTCTCTACTATATTTTTAAATCTTCACTAACTAATCACTTTACCAACGTTTTCAAAATTTGAATTAGTTAGTTGCTCTCATCTGCTTTAAGCCATGGCCGATAAACAAGCCCAATTGAACGGCGCTTACTACGGCCCCTCCATTCCGCCGCCGACGAAAAAATCCTACCACCGCCCGGGCCGTGGCGGCGGCGGGGGTTGCTTCAGCTGCTGCTGCGGCTGCATCTTCAACTGCATCTTCGGCATCATCTGCAAACTCTTAACCACCATCATCATCATGGTGGCCATCGCCGCTTTTCTCTTCTGGCTCATCGTGCGTCCCAACGTGGTCAGGTTCTACGTCACCGATGCCACACTCACCCAATTCAACTTCACCAACAACAACACCCTCCACTACAACCTCGCCTTAAACATCACGATCCGTAACCCAAACAAGAGGGTTGGGATCTACTACGACTACATCGAAGCACGCGCGTTGTACCAGGATGTTCGGTTCGATTCACAGACACTCGGAACCTTCTTTCAGCACCACAAGAACACTAGTGTTTTGAACACTGCTTTCAAAGGACAACAAGTGATGATCCTCGGCACCGACCAGACTTCGGAGCTGAACAAGGATAAGAGTTCTGGGGTTTACCATATCGATGTGATGCTGTTCCTCAATGTGAGGTTCAAGATGGGTTTGTTCAAATCCGGCAAGGTCAAGCCCAAGATTCGTTGTGATTTGCAGGTTCCTCTCAAATCACACAACGGAACCTCGCCGGCCGGTGGGTTTCAGACCACCGAGTGCGGCTGGGAATACAGATGGATCCATTAGATCCGACCCGAAAATTATTGGTTTTGATCTTTATCCCTTTTTTAGTGTGATTTATATTTCCTTGATTAGACTATAGTATTGGATTGTTACTAGAGGCTGGTTATGTTATGAATTTTATATTTTAATTATTATTGCTACTAATAGATATTTTGCATAACATATTCTTCAAATTCATGGCCGACCGTTTTATTTGTCTTCTTTATTCCTTTGCTTTTCAAAAGCAGTTTCGCTTGTTTCTTAAGTTGCCATTAATTTCTGTGTGAATGAATATAAATTGTCTGCTGGAAGTGGGTCATATGTTATTACTAATATCTTTTATACTGTTACGGAATTTTTTAATAAAATTTTAGTGTAAGCCTAGTTTTGATCGAGTTATTAACAATGATTTTAGGGAATTATTATATTTATAAATTTTTTATTTACAAACTCAACTATCTATTACTAGTAAGGGTGAAATTGGGTCGGGCCGGCCTGCAGGGGCCTACGGCTTGGCTTACATCAGGCTAGACCTGATCTAGTATATTTTGTAAAATAGGTCGAGCTTGGGCCTTGAAAAAACTTGTTTAATAAAAAGACCGTAGGCCCACTTTCACAAGGTCTGACCTATAAGCTTACAGGCCGACCTATATTATACTATTTATTTTAAATAAAATAAAATAGAATAAATATGCCTTGAAGAAAAAACAAAAGATATAAATTTAATTAATTGTAATTATTTATAACTTAATTATATTCGATTATATTTTAATAGAAATCTGACTTTATTTCTTATGTAGGAGGAACCAACATCACAACACGTTAGATTGTGTATATGAATATATTAAAAGGTTTTTGGTTGAGGTTATATTTACTACAAGCATCATGATGTGCTTGTTAGATTCATGTAATTATTTTAATTTACATAGTATCGATTTGTTTGTTGGATCTGATGAAATGTATGTTATTTAGTTTGAGCATTTTGCTTTTGAAAGTGACTTAAATACAAATTGTATGAGTTTTGTTGTGATTCATGATTCTATTTAGATATTGAAATTCTGATTTTTGGTTTAGCAATAGAATTTGAGTATTTTGTAGAGTTGATTTATGGTTCTGCTTAGAAGTTAAAAATTAACAGGCTAATAGGCTAGGGCAGACCATTTGTTTTTTCATAAACGGGTCAAGTCAGGCTAACAGTTAGACTCGTATTAGGCTTGGGCCAGGCCAAATTGAAATTTTTTAACATAGGCTTGGACTTTTCGGGGCAAAGCTTGGCCCAGCCCAACCCACTTTTACCCCTAATTACCAGGAACAAATTTGGCTAGGAATGTATTCTAGAAAATATATAATATAATTTAGAAGAGTTTGTAAATAAAAAGTTTGAAAATATTACTTATCCCATTATTAAATATAACCATATTAGATAAGTCAAGCTTTTATTTTGTAATTGTGTGTGTGAATCATTGGTCTCAATACTAACTTCATCTCGCGTCATAACCTACACAAAGACGGGTAATTCATAGTGCAATAGGCTTTGAACACCATCAATTATGAAGCTCTGGTCGCTGTGATCCACTGTGAGACTGCAACAAAACACTTTTCTATCCACACACCTCCATGGTCACAATCTATGATGCACGAACACGGGACACGAAACGACACGCTGACATATTAATTCTAAAAAATATCATTTTTTGACACGTTGAGACCCGTTTTGATATTAAATAAAGTTTGTAATATATATAATATAATTTATATTTAATACATATAAGAGTCCATAATAAGTCATATAACCTGTCAAATATTTAAATTTCATAATATAAATATAAATATAAATAATTTTTCATACTTTGTTAATTTTTCATGTCAAATTTTATAACAGAAAAAAATTAATTTATAAATTATTTCTTTTATATGTAGTTAACAAAATAAAATTAAGATTTAAAAAAAATGTGTCCGAGCGTTGACCGCCTGTCAGAAAAAGTTGACCGCTTGTCATAGAGGTCACAACTCACGAGCACAACTACTCTCTTTTCCCGAGTTGAACAAAAAAAATATAGAAGAAAATAATCATCAAGATAAGAGTAGGTAGTATAAAATTGTTATATTTTTATATTTAGTAAAAGATATATTGCATATTCAATATATTTGATATATCGAAAATATTTTCTCTAATCACACAAGAAGCAATTAAGAGAAAGGGGGTGGGGTTCATTGTAACAAGTGTTGGGTTCGTGCACTTTTACTTAATCTCAATTAGGCTAAGAGTATTAGAGTCTAAGAAGTTTAGAGCCCAAAGAGCTTAGAACTAGGATTTTTTGGTACTCATATAAATACTACTATTTAAATCATCAGCCTCCGTGGTCATTGAACAGAAGAAGTTAACTCAAATTTGAAAAAGTGCTCACACATCCCCTTCCCTCTTGAGGATAGTCTAGAAGATTTATCAGAAACACGTGAGGTCTGATCGTGCTATTACGCAGAGAGATCAGTGTGTGGGTTCATGTTGTGACGCAAAATACTCTAGTTCATGAAGGATCATCTCAGTTATGCGCTACAAGAGGTAAATTAGAAAAATGATAATGATCTGTTGCATCCCAAACCGCAACGGTCTTAACGCTTTAGCAGATCCAATTGCCCCTACAACTAGTATCAGAGCCGCATTGTGAGTTTGGACATAGATCTAATTTATGATTTACGACATTCATGTAATTAGTTTTGTTTTATGAAATATGGTACCTAGGGTTCTATGTTTAAAAGTATGTCTATTGCATGTGTATCTTTATAATTCCTTTCATTAAAAATCAATGCTTTATTTGGTTTTTGGCTTTAATCCATGTTAGAGATTTCGTTGTATTTTTCCTGGTTTGTAACAAGGAGTCCAACATGATTAGGTTTCCTCCTTGATTTTTTTTAATTCAATTTTTTTTCTTGATTTTACAAAATTGTAATAAAAGAAGATTAAGATGCATAAAGAAGGAAATTTGTTACTTTTTTGGGTATGTTTATAATCATCTGATGGCCGATCTTCGAAACCAACCACATGGGATGAAAGAGGACACAAAGTCGAGCAAGATGAAAATCAGATCTGGCCGAGAGGTTATCTGATGCGCCGCCACGCATGCCGAAAGTGGTTGCGCGTGGGCTCCACGCGCCGGTGAAAGATTAAGTGCGTGAAGGTGCGTCTGAGGTCCAATCAGGGTGGTTCCGATGGCGTGGATTCCTCTCTTCATGGCGATCGTTACCCTAGAGTTTCGTGCGGAGATGATTTCGGGTGACAGAACAATGGACGTGACCGGCTAGGGTTCCTAAAAGTTATCCTAGGATTTCTTGCCAAAGTTTGGTATTTTGGGCTCATGGTTGCCATGAAGGGGCTTGAAAAAATATGTATGGACTGAAAGGAAGAAGGAAATAGGCTGAAGAGATTTTTGTTTCTTTTTTTTAACTTTTCTCTAGGGAACGATAGGTTAAAGTCTAATTATAATTGCTTTATTTTTTTATGAATTGATGAATTATATGTTTTGATAACATCCTCAATGTGTTAACATGCCATATAGAATAGGTGGTGCCATATTGTTGAATAAATTGTTAATTACATGAGCATAATAGCTATTGTATCATCAAGCGACTAGTATGATAGTTATTATGAGATTATTTTGTTTTTTAGATTATCCTCAAAAAATGAATTAATAATTGAATTAATTAATTTTGGATAATTAAAATGAATACAAATAATCCAGAAATTTTCCTAAGAGAACTATTTATTTTGCGAGTAATTTGTGGGTCTTATAAAATGGTTGTGTTAAACACACGTTGCTTATCATGACTGGATTTTGGGACCTTAACGATTTCAAAATTTCGATAAGCTAGCGATGCACGTTCATCGGTGCTTGTGCTTACATAGTTTTTGAGAATCAATGACTATCCCCATACACTAACACGAGACTTTTCAGCATGCTTTGTCCTCACTCGCACACTTCTCGAAAAAACTTCCCAAGAAGTCACCCATCCCAGAATTACTGCTAGTCAAGCACGCTTAACTATGGAGTTCTTTCATTCCAGGCTACTGAAAAGTAGATGCATCTTGTTAGTATAGGTAGTACAAATTAATTCTTATAAGTTATCTCCAACTGTGCAGTCTCATACCTGCACAGTCTTTGGAATCCCTCTCTGTTAGTATATGGATATCCTAGAGACAATCTTTTGATTAGATTATGACATATGTTGACCTTTTATATTGTCGCAAATAAAAAGCACTATTTATCCTGTTTCATATTTTGTCTCAATATTACTATTAATATTTAAATGAGTAACTGGATAAACCCCTTGGAATAAAATAGGTATCTCTTGAGTATCTGTGATGAGATCACGATCATGAGGATTCAAGGATACTGCATGTTTATTCCTAATTTTATGTTCTTAGTCTAGAGACACTGAGAATGGGGATCAGTGATCTCGGGTAAGACTAGCACGACTTATCTACTTGTATTTGGATGCAAGGTAAAGACCTCATGAGCTACAGATATGGAGATGTCTTAGCTAAAGTCGTGGGTGGACCTATAAGGGTATAGCTCGCACTGAACAGACCCACAAAGAGACTCTATAAGGAACTCTCACAGAGAGTATTATTAGAGTAGTCTCTTTATATTTGGGTATGTCTTTCCTAAGACCAGAAGTTATTACCTAGACTGTGTTCTAGAAGGCATGCTTTGATTGTGCACCTCGTCTGCCTGAAACATGGAGACTCATAGGTATACTGTTGGGCTTGTCCTGAAAGAACACAGGGCTAGGGTGATAAGCTGAAGGAATTCGTCAAATCTCTGTGAGAGATTAGGTTATCTGTAAACCGGAGAAATCGGGATGACATTTACAGGGACTCGGGAATCTATGCATAGTAAAAGAGATCATGAGATGATCTGCCTTTAGAGTCTGTAAATTGAAGATTCCCTATTTCGAATAAAGCTTACCCTAAAACGCAGGGGTTGATACGCTTCCTTACCCTAGGTTTTATGGGAAGGTAACCGAGACGAAAGGAAATATATACGGCAACCAAATATGTGTAATAGGATGATCAAGTCATTAATCTAACTAGTTCTGGGGCAACAAAGCATTGCTAGTGCTCTGTGTTGTCATTAGATGGGTTGTGGGCTTATTGGGCCCAAGACCATTTATGTCAGTGGCT